TTACTTAAGCACACTTCTAAGTATCTTCTAAGCCGCTTATCCTTCTGGGTCACGGAGGGAGCTGGAGTCTATCCCAGCAGTCATTGGGTGGAAGGCAGGATACACCCTGGACAGGTCACCAGTCCATCACAGGGGCAACAACTTCAGAGAAATATAAAACATTAATAAGACATTTTCAAGCATACTTAGAACTGAGTACTATGCAAAATATTTAGAACTGATATGCATAAAGATACCAATACCTTGACCTCGATACTGATGCTAGAATGACACTTTAAGCAGAGCTGAGATTGAGATACTGGAAGTGGCTATATTTTACAGACTCTAGCAGACTGTATATTAATTAAGAACTGGTGTTAATAAGATGCATATGCATTGTAATTTACACAGATAATCAGTACTCTTCACTCTTTTTGAAGAAGAATGCTTATTGAGTAAGGCAGTGGTTCCCCACCTGGTGCTGGACCCCCTGCACTTCATATTTTAGTGTTTCCCAACACATCTGATCCAGTTCATCAGCTCATAAAGAGCCCTTCATGACCTGAAGTTCATGTTTGGAGCAGGAAAAGACTAAAATGTGCAGAGCAGGGGGTCCATCAGGACCAGGGCTGGGAACCTGTGGACTAAGGGATGCAGACAAGACTGACTCAGGTATTGAGATTTGAAAATGAATGATATGGAATATTTCAGTTCTCTGTACAGCTCCAGTTATTTGATCAGTACAATAAATGTATTGATTTGAATACCCAGGCCTAGACATTTGAGTATATTGTCACAAACTACATTTGTGCAAAAACAGTGTCCAACTTGTTCTAATCTCTTTCAAACGGATTTGACAGAGGAATGATAAATGTGTTCTGACAGAGACCTCAGTACATTTATTCCTCAGTGTTTTTAGTTGGACAGCAGTTACATTATCAGACTCCTCAACTTCATAAACTAAAGTTGATGAGATTTGTAGCTCAGAATTTCTGCACAATGTTCAAGGTGATTTTTAAACTCCTTTAGCAACACACTGCATGCTTGTCTACAGTCACCATCAGCTGAACTGACAGACATATTCCACTATGAATACAGTTACATCCTTAATTACACAAAACATTTCACGATATAATCTCACCACTGAGTTATTCCTTTTTATTATCTTTTATTTTCAGCTGAATGAAACAGCATGTCGATTACAATAAATTGACTGTAGTACCAACATGTACTGACCTTTAAACCTGCTAGGAGGCTGAATTACTAGCAGCTCCTTGTCTATCAACTTGATTTTGGCTCCAGTGTGCCGTTCATTTGCATGCTGATAAGAATCAAACCAGGGACCAGCAAGTTGTCTTACTACACCTAAACCTACACTGTGCCAGTATTCAGGCACAAATCCGTTGATCATCTGAAACTTGTTGAGTTTAATCAGACGGGATGATTGACCATTAACCACTAACCCAGGATTTTTGGGAGCTGCTACTAATGCGTGGCTAAAGTGGTCACTTTCTCTCTTTCTGCAGGCTCTGGTAGAGAAGAGGCGTACAAACTTCTCCCTGTGTGGTAGCAAAAGTCACATCCACAAGTTCCATTGAATTGGTTTGTATCTGTATTTTGCTGTGTACTCTTTGTATTTCATGGGCTTTGCAACTGAATCTGAGCTCCAAACAAGTAGCTGCACTTTTGAGACAGGAACCACATTTTGTGTGTCCTCCAATGTAATGTCTTCATTTTGCAGTGTCAGTGCTTCATTTACAAAGGGCGTCAGAAATGTCATCATCAAGTCAAGTCAAAGTTTATTTATAAAACTTTTTACAACAGGTGTTATCACAAAGCAGCTTTACAGAAAAATCCGGGTGCAAGCCCCCATGAGCGTCACCATGGCGACAGTGGCAAGGAAAAACTCCCTAAGAGCAAGAGTGAGAAACCTTTAGAGGAACCAAGACTCAGAAGGGGAACCCATCCTCCTCTGGTCCACACCGGACAGCGAACAGCGCTAGTATAAAATATTACAACACAAAACAGGGAAAAACAGGCGGAGCAACGATTAATTGGATAATTTGAGTTTAGGACCTTATGGTAGTGTGTGTTTGGTGGTACGAGTGTATCAGACACAGCGGTGTTGTGACTCTGCTGTCTCTTCTAGACTGAGAGTGGACCCCCACCCAAAAATATCCAGACAGAGCAGCTCTGAGATCACAGACTGAACACTGATGAAGCGCTAGAGGACGACTGACACAGTGTGTAGACAAAATGTAGCACAGTCTCTGAACTGTACCAACAAGGCAGGTGTTTCTAATGAAGAGGTTATTAAGTGTACACAGTGTTTAAAAACCCCAGTCTGGTCAACACTGGTCCTTTTTTGATGGTCAGGGTAGCAGGCTGAGTAATACATAGAGTTCAGTTTATAAACGTAAACCTATGACGTGCACCTCTATGGTAAGTGTTTCTGATTAATTGGATAATCAGTACGAATATGTATTTTTCAGTACTTTGTGCATCCCTTGTAGCAAGTTATTATTTTAAAGATTAAAATTGCTGTGTGGAGTCACATCGCACTTCAAATAAAACTTTCTACACCACACAGTGCCAGTGTTAACACTGGTTTAAAGGTCACAAAGGAATAATTATATGTATTTGTTTTCACTATATTGAAAAGTATGCAGATAACTGTTTGTAATGAGTGAATTCAGATACTTTAAGGTCACCCATTGCTGACATAGATGTTCAGTTACACACACAGCTATAATCTCCATACAAAACATTGATCAATAGAATGGGACATTCTAGCACAGCCACACATGAGCCTAAGGCAGGGGTCAGCAAATCAAATGTTAACAAGAGCCATTTTTTCCTTTCAACAAAAATTAAGCCACTCTGGGAGCCACAACATTTTATGTCCATTTTACCATCTTGGCTGTAAATATGTCTCAGTGTGTGCTGATGTTCTAGTATAGGCTAAAAAATATAATATAAATGAAAACACAGACTTACTTTGCTCTGCTTTAAGCTTTAGTTCAGCCTCAGCTGCTTTTCTCACATCTCTGGCAGGAAACTTTTCCATTTAAGTGGGATAGTTTCTTGTAAAATGTCTGTCAATGTTCAACTTTTTTTGAGACTGAAGTTTCTTCTCATTCAAATTTTCCTGTTCCACTTAAATGGTACATGAGGTGACAATGTAACTGCTGCACCATTTAAGGTGGAACAGGAAAATTCAAACAAGAAGCTGGTGAATGAGAAACTGACTTCAGCTTAGCTTTTTGTGTTTGATAGTTTCTTGTTGCAGATTAAATGTATCAGGAAACAGCTGAGAGCTTATAAAAGCAGATAAGCCCATTTGTCTTCAAATTTTCAATGTTCATCTTAAATCTTATATGCATATATATATATATATATATATATATATATATATATATATATATATATATATATATATATATATATATATTCATGCAATGTGTTAAGAAACTTCATTTCCCAGCATTCCTTTCTCCTTTCGCGGGTTTTACCCCTTTCTGGTGGATTCCGTTCAGCCTTTTGGGAAAACTGACCGTTCAGTCGACATTTAAGTACAACTGATGAAGAGAGGGGGCGGGTTTAGAGAGAGAGATGCTGTATCCCAGCCCCCGAGCACACAGGCCTCCGTTGAAGACTCCCAGTAAGCCCAGAAGACTGGTAAAGAAAGCTGAAACCAGGTTCAGGAGCTGTGACTGAACTGATGTTCCGCACTTTACGGGCTGAGCTTTGTGAATCGCTTTGCCCCGCCAGTTCGGACTGTGCTTCAGTGGGGTTGCGTACTGTGAGGATTAACCGTGAGGACTGCTGCTCCGGCTACGCACCTGCGCTCTGTGAATCGAGTGGGCACGTGAGTTCTCTCCGGCTGCGCCGCTGCTCTGTGCGCTTTGAGGAACTGTGAGTATCGACTCTTTTGAATCA